GTGGCCCCAGTAATTGATTCAGGCTTGGGACTTGTTAACTAATCAGAGACAATAAGGAGCATTCTCAGAACTGTACGGGAACTTGAAACTGCGGTTGACATCTCAGTGGACTGGAAACTGGGTGGGTGTGAATCCTGACCTGCATGAAAGCACACAACTTCACTTTTCTTAATCCTGAAGATGACGAGCGTCTACAACTAACCAACAGCTGGCATTTGTGAAGCAGTGACGGCACAACAGACCCTGTGCTGTATTTTTGTATGTGTTATTGCTGGAGAATCCACGGGGTGAAATCTCTCACTCGTACTTCTTGAGGACAACTGCAGAACATCCTGGGAATGTAGTGTCCTGAGATGCAGAGGCGTTGGCTGGAAGGGCGTGGGCTCTCCTGCTCCCCTAGAAATAAGACGTCTTTCAACTTTAGCCCAGTGAATCTTGTTGCCCTGGGGTTTTATACACAGGCTTTCCTCTGAAGTCCCCCCCAGCCCCGACTATGGTGCTAGTGGGACACACAAAGATGAGATTTTTGTCCACTCTGGTCAGCTTTCCTGAGCCTGGGGTTACCAGTTCACCCTAAACCTTGGGCTGTCTTGTCTCTCATTGTATCAGTGTTAGTAATAAACCCACTGCATGTAACTCATCCCATGTGGGAGTGTTCTCTACCACTGAGAACATTCAAGTAAGAAGAACAAATACAGACCAAGGTGCAGTGGGCTGACCAATGGCCAATGGACCTGCCATTTGTGTGGATGAGATGAGCCAGATCCCACTTCAAGGAAGGACGCGGCCTAGCTCCTAGAAGGCTGCTGTAGACAGCCTTTGTCTGTCAGATACAGGGAGCCAGCCTGGGTCACTGGTAGAGGCTATTTGGGTTCTGTGCAGGACAACTCTAATGGGCTGTTTTAGCTTAGAGCTCTCCATGGGATCAGACAATGTGAAGCCCAACTCTTCACTACCTTCCCTGGGTGTTAATATCATGGACATTGCATCCTTTAGAAATGTCCCTACTAAACAGCACACTGAACTCCATCTCAGAGTCGGTTTCCCAAAGAAAAAGCAACACCATTTTATAGATAAAACGATACAGCAGGGAACTCCCACCTCAGCCCATCACTGGACCTGTCTTCTGGAGTCTGGGGCTGCCTAAGCATTTGAATCTTGCTTTAGACTTCTAGAGGCTGATCTGGAAACTGGAAGTGGACTCTACTGTGACTCTGGGGAGGAAGTGAGCTATGGAAGCATGGGAACTCTGGGCAAGAGTGACCCCTCTGCTGAAAGCCACGTGGTCCATGTGTGGCCTATTGCTGGATGTCCTGTGTGACCACAGAGGTGACTCACAATTATAATAGCACACAGAGAGGGACCTTCACATGCTCTCCAGCTCAGAGTCTCTTTTCTAAGAGTATTGTTTAATTTTTTTTTTTTTTAAGATTCTGGGCATTTTAGCAAATCATTAACCACAGAAAGAGCATCCTACAAATTCAATTCCCCTATTTTGGCCTTGAGTATTTCTTTTGTACAGATGTAATGTTAATTAGAATCACTTCTTGTAAGAGGCAGGAAACCAGGTTTCCTTTATGATTCCTTGTTTGTAATCATTATCTCCCGTGGGCTTTCAAAATGCATTTGAAGCTATTATGATTTTTTTTTTAAATTGCACTTTAATGAATTCTTGGGTGAAAACTGTGATTAAAAAGGCTGAACCTGCTACACAGTGAACTAATCGAACATTATAAGGAAGAATCTATCAAATGAGTCTCTGGACTACACCTCTCATCATCATGAAATCAAACTAAAAATATATAATGTCAAAACATTTAAAAGTAGTTCTAAGTTAAGATTAGTTAAACTAGTGAATATAGATAGCTCCAAAATAAGGGAAATGTGTAGGAGATGAAAATGGATCAGGAAAAGTGGAAGTAGTCACTGAATAATTGGGAATAGAAGTGCCAAAGACCTTACATGCTTGGGACCACAAGAAACTCATTTCTTCACCAAAGTTCTTAATCTTCTATACCTGGAGATATTTCTTTTTCTTGAGGGGCAGGGGGGGTGTGGTTACTGTGGATTGAACTCAGGGGCACTGGACCACTGAACCACCTCCTCAGCCCTATTTTTTATTTTATTCAGAGACAGGATCTCACTGAGTTGCTTAGTGCCTTGCTTTTGCTGAGGCTGGCTTTGAACTCACGATCCTCCTGCCTCAGCCTCCCAAGCCACTGGGAATATTTCTTAAGAATGCATCTCTACATTTACAAGCAGTGAAAAAAGAAAAAAAAAAAGAGTGCAACTACTGTATATGGAGAGTCCCTAACTAAGAAATATGGATGAAATCCATTTAGTCTACTAGAATTAGAATTGTAGATAGAATAATTTTAAAACTTTTTTCTTGATACTCTTGAAGATGTCCTTTTATGGACAAAATTGTATTTTTAAAACTAATGTGTCCTTCCTCACACTTTAAGGATTGTATGTGCATTGGTGTGCAAGTGTATAAAGGTGGACAAGGAACGGGAAAGGAAGAACTAGATTTCCACACCACACTAAGGCCTCAAATCTACAACAAGCCCTGAAACAGAGGCCAGACCCCACCCCCAGTAAACACCTGTGGTGGCAGCTTATTCAGGATAAGGCCATGTGTATGCCTGGCCCAGAGAGATAGACTAGACCGGGCTATAAATTACCACAATCGATAAAGGAGGAAAAAACGAGATTGCCCATAACAAATGACATCCTGTCGAGGTAATTCAGTTTGTCAATTTTACTAGCTAATAAGACTCTATTGCAGTTGATATGTGGAAGAGGTACTGGCTCATTTATATAAAATAATCAATGAGTCCTAAAAGCCACCATTTATATCAGATTTGGAGCTCTGGTCCATCCAGAATAGCTCCCTTGCCTTCACCTGAAATCATAAAACAAATGTGTAAAGTGAGGCCCCAGACATGCTGAATACAACGCACAGGCCTTCGAGAGACAAGCTCCAGAGAACTCAGAGTAAAGGCAATTTGCATCTCTGATAAACAGCTTCCTGATTTTCAGATGTTGCCACAGATTCCTGTTAGTTACACCAGTGCAGATCACTGTCTGGGCTCCAGGGAAGAAATGAATTTAGTTAAGCCAATTGTTCTTGTCTCTGGCATTAATCAAACCCCATGCATGCTAATGTGACCCATCTTGTGCTCCTAGCCGTTCTCAAAGAACAGAAGCCCACACCTTGCTGGCAGCTGCTTTAAGTTAGGGAGATTTCCAAGCATGTAAGGAGAAAACTAGGTTATTTCCAGTTCTTGACTTTCTTATTCAACCTAATGTCTTGTAAGAAAGAGATTTTGCGAAACCCTTCGACTGGTGGAAATCCAAACACATACACACACACATACATATACAAAAACAAAATTAGCAGGCAGATCTGTAGCAGCTTTGCAGATTAAATAGAGTGTTCTTTAGACAACTATTGTCAAGATGTGCTGTTCTTTTAATGCTCCAGGACTGTTCCACCAAAATCCTGCATCTTGTGTCCTTACTGGAGCCCCTCAGGGATTGTTTGGTCCAGTTGTTCCTTGTTTATCTTTATCTCTGACACAATTACTAGATCCAGCAGACCCTATGGAGCATAAAAATCACATGTTAGACATACTAATATCTTCTGTGTGGGGGATATGTGCTCAGAAGTAAGAGCCAGGCTGGATTACAACCTCTCAGGGAAAAATCAACAACAAATACAAGCTCCCAAGATCCGTGCCTCCATGATGCCGATTAAGGCAAAGTCATCTTTAGAGAGCAGTCAGCGTTCTTGAGGGGCGGAATTTCTGTGTCATTCGAATGTGTGAATGTAGAACAACATTATCTTGGCAATATGAGGTCTTGATGAGCTATTTCTATAGAATAGGGTCACCTTCTTCGATGAAGATTCTGTGTCTTGTGGAAGGAAATCCACTTTGTCTATTAATGAAAGACCCATTATAAAAGTATAAACCAATAGTTTTAGTTGCTTTTACAATTTACTTGTCAATCTATGACTCCAAAAGGAAATGATGGCACAAAAGAAAGGTCTGTACATAGATAGAAGCAACTTGTAGGAAGCCCTTGGAAATGAAGAACTACTGTTTGCAACAACCACAAGAAAAAGAGGTGATGCAGGAGGGGAGCCCTACAAGATGTCCCTGAAATAACAATACAATGCAAGTTAAGCTCAAAGCCAGGAGCAGGTGATTCTCAGAGAAGGGTTCCCACCAATTCAGTTTTTCAAGTAGTCCAGATTATGCTTGGAAAAGATCACATCCTTTGTCTCCTTGAAACCCAAAGTGGGTGTGGGGTGATGCAGCAGCTGGTACCACGCCCCAGTAGGGGTGGACAGGACAGACTGAGTGGACCCGCAGAGTGGGTCACTGCCAGGTGCAAGGAAAGCCCTGGGGTGCGGCCCCTCCCCTCCGACCTAGCTTGCTCGCTGCTCCCCCTCCCGGCCAAGAGGACAACGTGCAAGCTCCAGCTCTGGCGCCCGGAGCTACCTCTCCGGGATTTCAGCCCCAGTCCCAGAGACTAGACAGACCCCCTTTCTCCTGATACTCTCCCCACGCCCCCTCCCCAAACTAAAGACCTAGTCCTTAAAACCAACAGACAAAAACTGATCAGCGAGTTTCGACTCTCCTACTTCCTAGGTGTTTCCCCAGGAATAACCTAGTGACATGGATGACAGGTAGGGTCTGGGGAACTAAACCCAAAAGGTTCGTCCAGGACCCGCGTTTCCAGTTTCGTGCTGGAGTGGGGGGTGGTTTCTGCGCCCGCCGGCTCCCCCGCCTCGCTCCACCGCAAGCTAAAATAACAGAGCGGATGGGCGGCGGGGTGGGCGTCCCGGGGTCCAGCTCCCTGCTCTCGCCCCCGCCCCCTTTCTCCCGCGAACGCGCTGTGCGGCCGCACTTCCCCAGCGCGCGGCGCTGCGCACGCTGTTATGCCGGAGTCGCGTCCGTTGGTGAGCTGACAGCGCGGCTCGGCCAGTCGGCTGGAACTGAGTAGCCTTCATTGAATCTGCGGCTCTCATGACGTCTCCCTGCGTGGTCCACCACTTTGCTCCTAACCCAGGAATATTTTTTTTCTGTCACTCTTGCCTTTTCCCCCTTCCTTCCTCCGGGTCGCCCTCCCCCGTGCCTGCCCAAACGCACACCCTTCCGCCCCTCCTTCGGTCCCAGCGCCCAGCCCTCCGCTCCACTCTCGGCCAAAGGGAGCCAGTCTGAAGACGGCCGCACCTGGCTGGAGAGGTTGGCGGGCGGAGGGTGGGGATCCGCGGGAACCCGCAAGCTGGAGCCGGAGCTGGATGGACCGCGAGAATGGAGTCTCCTAACAGCCTCCCGGGGCTGATGTGAAGTCGGACCATCTGCTTCCAGTTTTTCGTTTCCTTCTCGTTTTTGTATTTCCTGCCCTCGCCATCCATCGTGGAGTGAATGATTAAATCTTGCTCCGCTCAAGAGAGACCATGATTGAGTGAGACCACCCTGTCCGCAACCAGGTAAGCGGGGCGCCGAGTTGCTGGAAGGCGAGAAGCTGGCCTCGAGCCGGGCGAGACGCTCTCTGTTCCGTGCCCTCGGGCCCCCACTCCCCCTCCCCAGCTGCATGCACCTCCACTCCGACGAGAAACACGATGCCCAAGTCCACCGAAAGGCAAGGGAGAAGCCGGTTACATAACCGAGGGAAATCTGTTTCATAGGGTTTTCATTAGCAACTGAACACTCGCACGGGGGGCGGGGGGAGGAGGGGTCTGCATGCCCTGGGCTCCGAGGAACCCAGTCAGTTATTGCAGACACCATTTCAACCTCCGCCGGCAAAGACGAAATGCACTCATGAACTGGCAGGGGAGGCTTGCGGTGTAGTCATTTACAGTCGGGAAAAGCCCATTGTCTTTATCCAAAGCTGTATCCTTGGTCTGCTTTTGCATAACGAGGAGAGAGGAGAAGAGGAAAACAAGGAGGAAAAGTGAGAGATGGGGAGAAATAGACAATAAGATGAGGAATAACTCCTAACTGCTCTCTATCAGTAAACCCGGAGATGTGGACATGATAACTAAAAACAGTGAGCAAGAAGATCTCCCTAGAAGTAAACTGAATTATTCTGTAGTTGGAAGGGGAAAAACACCCTTCAGATAAAATGAGATGCTTATGGCATTTAGAGGGTTGGGCGAATTGGTTGACTTTGCTTCCTCCTGGGTGTATTTTCATTTGCAGCAAGACATTAAGCTTGAATTAGTTTTTAACTGAAAAAGAAAATATTAGTATTCCCCAAACCCAATAATAAAAAACAAAAAACATAGGTGGATCCACAGGTACATCTTTTGGACCAAACTCAATATGGAGAGACTCTGGGGGGTAAGCATATCTTAAGAGAAGCAGCCACAGAAATGAGATGAGGTTAGTGGAGAAACAAAATACCAGAATTTTCCAAAGAATCCTTTCTCCTCCTCCCCCCCACCAAAAAAAAAAAAAAAAGAGAGAGAGAGAGAGAGAGAGGAAAAAACCCTCCAGCGTTTGGGAGTTGTAGATTCATAATATGTTTAAAGTGGCTCCTGACTGGACTGCTTCATCCGAAGTCTGAGGTCCCAGGGAGCCCGCGGTACAAGGTGCAATACCACCTCCCTATTAGCTCGGGTCCCTGCCTACCTTTCTTTCGCTGAGAAACAGAGAATGGGGATGCCTGGGAACCGCTTAGAAAGAAAAGGGGGCTTCCTAGAGTCAGCGATGAGCTAACTGAGCTTCCCCCATTTTGCCTGGAGAAGGAAACAGAGAGAGCTCTAGTCTCCATGGCGACCCAGGTGGAGGGGAGAAGGCAGCAGCTGGTGACAGGGGGAAAATGCCGGACAAAACTTTCCCAGCTCCAGGCAAAGAAATAATCAGCCGTGTGCCCTGTGGAGGATCCCAGGCGTCTGCTGTGCCCAGCTGCCTGTTGACGACCCGCGAGAGGGCGCTTGGCAGGTTCCTCTCCCACGGGGCCAAAGTTCCCGGGACTGCCGACGTGGCTAGGGAGCAAGTGCTTAATTCAGCACCAAGGCCAGAGCCCAGGCGACCGTGGTGAGCCTCCGGGTCCTTAGCCCCAGAGAGCAAGCTCCTTTGGTCCTAGGAAGCTGATCATTTTCTGTCAAAGAACGGTTCCCTGCCCGTGTAGAAGAATCTGGCTATCAGAACATCCGCGGAATCATGTGGAACACAGGAGCTTGCAAATCATCCATTTCATGCACGGCAGTGCATCAGAGTAACTATTCAAAATCAAGAACCCTGAAAGAGCAAAAGATCTGAGCTGAACAGAGGATGGAGGAAAGATATGGTCATTGGGGAGAAAGGGTTGGGGGGGGCGGGGAGGAGCACACACACACACACACACACACATAGGCTCGGCCCCTGATGAGAGCTGTCTAACTTCAGCCAAGTCTCTTTAGCTTACAAAAGCATCCTTTGATTCCCCGCCCTCTCCCACTCCCCTCTCTAACTTTTTGCTAGGCATAGATGGCAGAAAGGTGTGTGGCAGCACTGTGGTTAGTGAGAGACCAGCCAACCAATCCTGTTGTAGGGTCCTAAGACCCAAGAGGGCAGAGAAACTGTTGGCTCTAAGCAGGGACTCTAAGCAGAGCTGGGTGAACTCCTGGAAAAGGAGGAGAGGGTGGGGTGAGAGCCAGTGAGCAGGTCCTCAAACCGGCATGTGAGCAAGGTGGCTACACATCCAAGGTTGCAGGCATAGGAGTTGTTTCTCTTAGTAAACCAAGGAAGAAACTGTGCAGAAGGGCAGGATTCATTGTCATTCAACTTCGTTTGGATATTCATTCAGGGAAAAACAGGTAAGTCCGTGGAGCCATTCTGCCCTCACCTCATCAGAAGCTGGTCTCGCCTGCTTGTCTTTGGTAGTAGATCTGTGGGGACACAGATCCTAATGAGGAACAATAGTAGAGGAAGGTGGTGATCATAGTTTAAATAGAAAGCCTGTAAGGGTGGCCTGTAGGTGTTATAAGGTGCAGTTAGAATGGCAGAGCACCGTCAAGGTTTGGCAACTGTAGGACACGTTGATAAGGCTTCTAAAATACCTGTCTGCTTTTCTCTTTTGATGGTGCACTTGTGCATGGGCTCTTGAGTTGGTTTTGGCTTGTTGTTCATAAAGGTAAACAAGAAATATCTTGGTTTTCCTTGCTGGGCTTTCCAACTGTGGGCGTGTTGTTGTTTTCCAAAGATAATGCATTCAGAGTGCTCAGGGTGCTGTTAAAGCAATGTGTTTATACATTTCAGTCCTGTTTCAATGATTGCTAATAAGGGCACAGAAATTTGCTCCAATCCTGGGCAAAAGTATGAAAGCATAATATTTCTTGAATTTAAGTACCTGGTGAGTGTTGAGAAGTTTATCCATTATTTAATTTACAAAAGAGTTGTTATCTAAAATAGAGGAAGTGATACACAGAGTATTGTTAGGATTGAACCAAGTGGCTACATGTTGGCCTTGTTCCACCTGATATGACCAGCAGAAGGGAAGTAGAGATTAGTTATGAACATAAAGCTACATAAGAATGTAGGTTGTTAGACATTCTAATATTCAATTTCTCTAGTGAATTTTTATAAAGGAAAGGCATGTAAGTAACTTGAGTAAAAAAATGCTCAATCAATTTTTAGTTCTGGTAAGCTCCATATTCATGTAACTAAACTAAGAATGGAAATTGCTCAATCAATAATCTTCAGTTCCTGTGGATCCCATGCTCATGGATTTAGCACTAATTTACCAAACTCTGAGTTGCTTTCTTCCTAGGTGGTTATTTACTAAACAAAGGGTCATTAATTATGTCGTTATGTAGTCAGTAGCATACTCCAAAATAATTGATTTACCCATTCCAGGTAAAACTTGCTTTAAGAAGGGCAACTTAGTAAAATTCACCGCTGTGTGTTTGGATCCATTTTGCAAATCAAATAAAATATTTGACACCTCACCCTGGTATTTTTGAACCATCAGTAAATTATATTTTCATTTTGATGACCCAAGTCATGATTTAACTTAGGTGCACCACTTCCTTTGAGATATGAAAATGCTTTAATTCACCATCCTTCCTTCCTGTCCTCTCACAAACTATCTCTACTCTATAGGATTGAAATATATGAAAGGTTCTATGCAATAGAAAAATCCACTGGAGAGTAAAATAAGTGAATGTCCCCTTATGGAATCCTCACCCCATCCACTGATTTTCACAGGCAGAAGAGGGTGCTGCCATCAAGAGTCGGAGGTTAATGAGAACCCCACTGAAAGGCAGTCAGCAAGCCAAAGCTCCCTCTTTCTCCCCAACTCTCCCTCAATCAAGTGATATGTAAGTGACATGTGATTAGTGAGGAACAAGCACAGAGAGGCAGAGGAAGAGGCAGGAAGCAAGCCCAGGAAAAGACAAGCATTTGTTTTCATCAGCTTTAAAGTGATGATAACTTTCAAAAAATCATTGTATTAGAACTTGAAGCTTGATGAAGTTGGGATGTTGAAATTTAATGAATTTAGACTTATAGCTTATTGAGATGACATCTGTTGTTTCTTCATAGTAACTATCATGTAAGTGCCAAAAAAGAATTGATTCACTCCAGAGTTTTAGAAAATTATTGAATTTTTATTGAAACACTATTGTTATATGGGGTCCCCTTTTTGAGTTGTAGTTAAAGTGTTTGGGGATAGAGAAAAATAATACATACTCATTTAAGTTAAAATACATCTTTAAATGTATTTTGAATAATTACAAATAATTATCTCTGGAAATAATTAAGACATGATACAAAGAAGAGATGATTTTAATTGTTATTAATTATTCTAATGGCATTCTAAATTTCCTCTGACAGTGTGCAAGGATAGAAATATACTTTATATCATTTAAAAGCATTAACTAATAGCAAAATTATTTGCCTCAAATAAAGGACAGTAACATCTTTAAAAAGAAATGACTGTCTTTCCTTAGGCATATCACACCTCTAATAAGTGGTAGATATATTTATTCACTTACTATTTAATTGAATAATTACTTAAACCAAACCTCAAAGAATGTTTGTGCCCAGTACAAAATTAAAATAGCCATTCAAATCTCTTTCTTGTACAGAGTGAAATAAGTCCACCAATCACCTCTCTCAATTGCAATATGTGAAGTTAACCCTGAATTTAACCCATGGTGATTTAATTCACCTCCATGCCATGTGCAACCTGAGAGACAAATTTATACATCACATTTAATCCTGGTGCTAGGGGAGTTTCCTCTTCAAAATTGCCAGTATGCACTTTTTTTCCTGTCCAGATGAGAAATTATTTTTTTAGTGATGCTTTAAATTTCCTTCATGTCATCTAGCAGGAATTTGTGTGTCAATTGCGTGGCAGGTGGTGCTGCTCCATGATCATGATCAGGGTTTCGCTAACTGCATTTGCACTGAGACCTAACTGTATCCCTTTGGGGGTGGGGGGGGGGGGGGGAGGTGTGGACTCAGTGAGTGACAGCAAATCCAGCATCTCAATGGCTTATGA